AAACAGCGTTTCCCGGGCGCCCCGCGCGAGCCCACGCGCTCCCTAATGGCCCCGGTGGCTGCCAATCACGCGCCGCTCCCGCCCCCGCCCCGCCCCGCGGGTGCTGCAGAGAGGCTCTCGGCCTAGGTTGCCCGGGTCCGACCATCAGTGGGTCTGCGGGCCGGGCCAGCGTCCGTCACCTCCTCCGAATCTCTGTGTCTCGGACTCCGGGTTCCGGGATCTCTGACTCTCTCGGGTCTTCAGGAGCCTCAGGCCAATCCTTAGGGCGAGGAGGGATCTTAAGAAACCGTCCCCTCCCGAGGCCTCACACAAAACTGGGGGCTTAGCACTAGAGGCAGCAGCGATGGCATAGGGGTGCCCTGACTTCCACGCCCACCGTCCCTCCGAGATTGGTCCCGAGCTGCGCGCGCACAAGCACACACATACAGTCTCCCTATCAGTCCCATACCACCCGCAGCCCTGTCAACCCAGTGCCACCACATCACCCACAACCCGCAATCAGAACTCATCGCCCACACAGTCCATACACAGGATGGCGCTCCTGGCAGCCTGTTACCTGCCTGGCATCCGAAGGCCTCTTGGAGAGGCTGCTGGCCTGGGACTCAGCTCCACACAAAGCACACGCACCTGTCTCAAGGAGGACAGACACAGAGCCAGGTCCAAGTGGGCAAAATCCTGGGCCTGGGATCCTCCATTCCTGCCAGGGCCCCACTCCCTCCAGGCAGGATCGGTTCACAGGAAGATATGTTCAGGAGCTGGCTCTGGGGCCAGGCAGTGATGAAGGCGGGCCTCCTAAAAGGTGTGTCTGAAGTGTGTGCCAGAGGGGCAGGTTAACACCCACACTGCTGCCAGTGCTGGGGTGGCAAGTGACTGTACAGAGGCTCTGTGTTTGTGGCTGTTTGGAGGTGACAAGAGAGGGGCTTAGCCAACTGGAGGCAGGGTGTGGGGTGCATATGGTATGTGTCCCTGTATGGCTGGAATTCTGTGTGGCCTGCCTTTGGGCACAGTGGTAGGGACTGTGAGTCATATGTGGAGCGTGTCCTTGTGAACTGTGCTCCCATGACCACAAACCCACGTGTGACTGTGGAGCCTCATATGGCCGTAAGTCCCTTTTGTGTGTATTACCAATCCTTCTACCATTGTGCATTCAAGTGCGGTGGCGAATCCAGGTGGCTGGGTGCAGGATGGACACAGGGCAGGCACAGGGTGCAGGATGGACACAGGTTGATGCTCGTTCTGGCGTCCTCTCTGGTCTGTAAGTGGTGCTTCTGGGTCTAGCTAATGGGAGCTGGCTGTTTCCTTAGGGGCTAAGCCATGGAGAGACAGAAGGTATTGGCTGGCTGATGCTGCCGGTACATTTTAGAGTCCTGGCCTGGGTCAAGGAGGTCAGGAATTTTGGCCTGGGTGGGCCAGAAAGGGCCATGGTCAGATTTGAGGGTAGATCCCCAGGCAGAGTTAGGGGCTGAGTGCCTCAGAGCAGGGCGGGGAGCCGTGGGCCTCAGAAGGGAGGGAGAGGAGGGGGCGGTAAGAGGATTAGGCCGCTTAGACCCTTCTCTCCCACCAGGATCCCCCACCCCCACCCCCAAGCTCCAGAAAAGATTTCTTCTGCCAAAGCAAAACCGTTTAGGCTCCATTTAAAGGGACAAGAAAGGTGGAGGCGGGGGCTTTAAATAACCTTTTAATTTCCCTTCAGGGATCTGGCCCTGTAAGGGAGGGGAGAGGAGAAGAGGGAAGGGAAGGGAAAGGAAGGAGAGCAAAGACTGGCTCTGGCTTAGACCATCGGGATAGCAGCTGGGCGCGCCACACGCTGGAGAAATGGTGTAAACGACACTGCGCCCCCACCTGGCTGCCCTCTGTACACAAACACACACAGATCATCCTGGAGAAAACTGTCACCCACTACGCACACATAGTCATTTAGTCCCACACAGAGACCTGGATACAGATGCACATGTAGAGGGTCACATTTAAAGACATACAAACAAAGGGGGCTCACCAAAGTCCCTCCCATGGTAGCACAGATGTGGAGTCCCTTTCTGCCCGTAGCCATCCCTGCTGGTGGTGCTAGGAGGGTTGGCTGAGGTTACTCCCCATAAGAGGAGCCCCGGCTTCAATTGGGCCTCCCCTTCCAGCAAGAGGGGACATCACCTTTCCCTGCCCAGGGACCCAACTCCAACCCATCCCTCCCTAGTAGCCACCTCAAATAGGACAGGGGCTGCTGGGCAGACTGGGGGGTGAGGACCCCAACCTCACCTGGGCCTGATTTGGGGAGCAGGCTGTAGGAGATAGCGCAGGTTCTGCTGGTGAGCTGAGGATTCCTGAGGGGTCCAGGCCTTGGGTCACAGGACCCAAATAGGCACCCGCTCTTTAAGGAGACTTGTCTGCTACACAGATTCTGAGCCCAGCTGGGGAAACCCTTGCTTGCCTCCTACCCCAGGTCCTCGTCTGTGCCAGCTGTCCCAGTCCTGGAGGTGGTGGCTGGGTGGCCAGCAGGCCTAGAGTCTCAGGGTACACACTAGGCTTCCACACGAGGGGACACTGTGGGCAGAGAGAGCACTGTCACTCAGTCACACTTCTGCCCCAGTGCACTTCCATAGACATTGCAGCACAGTGCTGGGTTCTAAGTTGACTGTGGATTCTTATGGGGAGTGGAGTGCAAAATCCATGGCATGTGCTGGGACAGAAAGTCAGAGAGGAAAACAGGATAGGAGGGCTAAGGGGAAGGTGTCCTTTAGGGAGGCCTGGGGCGATGGGGAGCTTGACATGCCACAATGTGGGTGGGTTTTACTGATTTAACAGAATGATTCTGAAGGTGCTACCGTCTAGACAGGAGCTAAAAAGTGGAAATGATTCAGGGCCTCCCTCCCTAGCTTGTTCCTGGAGCCTCCCCACCCACCCGCCCCAGGGCTGTGGCTGACACATTCAAAGGGCTTAAAAGGAAGGCGTCCCAGACTGGCTGGGGACCCGCCCCCGATAGATAGACTTTCCTGGGCTGCTGGGGCTGGAGTGGAGGCAGTGGTGCATTTCAGGATGTGCTTGCATGTTTGTGTGCCTTCATTAGCTTGTGAGTTGTGTGAATATTAGTTACATGTATATACTCCTATATTTGTGTGTAACTTACAAGTGTACGCTTTTAAATATGTAATACACAGATGTCGACTGTGCTTTGTGAGCTGTGTGCATGGTTGTCCGGGGAGATGTTTTTAAACTGGACCAAAGTGGTAGGTATGGGTTAACTTGAGAACTTTGGGAAAGGGGGCGCTCAGGGCGCTTCAGGCAGGCCTGGAAATAGACCACCGGCTCCCAGCCGTCTGTGTAAAACTATCTGGAAAGTGAGAATCCAAGGTCCCCTTAAAGTCCCAGGGCACGCTCCAGTCCTGCCATTTCTGGGCTCGGTTTAGAGTAGCAATGCCAAACCCAAACCCCCTAATTCCCCTCACAGACACACATTCTGAAAGACAACCCTCCACCCACAGCCCCAGAAGCGGGGGAGGGGGGCAGGTGCCCGGATGGGGCCACTTTCTAGGTGCCCCAGGTGGTCAGGGGATACCCTCCAATTTTGAGAACACCGGGCTGCGATGGAAGAGGCTCGCTGGGGAGACGAGCCCGTGCAGCCCCGCGCGCGCGCTCCTTCCGGGAGACCCGCTCTTCTCTGAGTCCCGACCAGCCGGGAGTCCGAGGCCTGATCCAGGCTCAGGGTCTGGGGGGGGGGGGCGCCGGTCCCACTCCGCGTCCCGGTCTTGCTCCCGCCTTCACGGCTGGCGCTCCCGGGGGCAGTGGTGGGCGGCTTAGAGCTAATTCGAGAGATGATGGCGGCGGCCCTGCCCCCCGCGGCCCCCTCCACCCCAGCGCCACCCCCACCCCCAGCCCCGGGCAGGGCCGCGGGCCGCCCGCATCTGCGCGGTCCGCGGCGATTCATCATCTTGATCCATGGCGCGCGCTGACGGCGGCCCTGGCCGCGCTGACAAGACTAACAAAGCAATTTGCCACGAGCCATCTCCTGGACAGGTTATTAGCGCAGCCGCCGCTTAAAGAGCCCTCCCCTCCAACCCCAGCGCGGGGCAGCTACCTGCTCTGTCCCCTCCCTCCGACCTGCTACTGCCCCTCACTGCTCAAAGATACCCCCGTGCATTCCTGGCCCTCTCCCACCACTCCAGAGTGCCCCTCTCTTGGTTGCCCCGCAAGTTCCTTCCCCTCTAGCTGGGGTCTGTGCCTGCTCGGGTCCCATCCCTCCCACCAGTTCCTGCCCCTGACCTCCCCAAACCCCCTACATGCTCCTGGCCCCTTCCCACCACCTCTCAGCCTTTCCCTCAATACTAAATGATGTATCCCTTCACCTCACTCACAGAAGACCCCCTCTACTCTCCACCCTCCTCACCTTCACTACCCAACCCTTTGCCATCAGAGGTTGGAAAACCCTATTTCCCAGCTTTGAGGGGAGGAGTTCTCCTGCTGTGCCTTTGAGTTTCCTCTGACCAGTTTTGCTCCCAGGTAATCTTACTGGGGGGGGGTGGCAAGGCCAGCTGGGTGGCTTTAGAGGTGGGAGGACACTCTGGCTTCTCCAAGGGTACCCTGACCACAGCCGTGGTGAGTCTAGTGGACTTTCTCTGAGGGGAGGCCATGAATGTCAGGGGGAAATGTTGGGCCCCATCCAAACAGAGGCTCAGAGAGATGCAGAGACTTGTTGAGGGCCACACAGCAGGTCAGGGCAGAAGAAGGACTGGAACCAGTGGGTGACCTCCCAGGCCCGGGCTTCATCTCTGGCTGCAGCGCTCTGGGAAGTAAAAGAGCCTGAGAGACCAGGGTACCTTCAGTAAGCAACTCCTCTCCCACCTGCAGAGACAGGTAGGGAGAGTTATATGTACCAGTCGGGGTGAGTTTGGCCAAATTTATCTATACACAACATAGATAATGAGGAGAGAAAGTCACACATTCAGATTCCCAAAAGCAAAGTAACTATTTGGTCATTT